TTGATTAAAATCTCGCATAAATAAATTATGTTCAAACATTATAGTATTTGTCTTTTAACATTCTGTTGCATGTTTTCAAGATTTTAGCCTGTTTTATCTGTGTAATTTATTGTCATCCATCCACACTTAAATCTAAGAGAAAGTGAGAAAAAAAAACATTGTCCAGATCTAGAGAGAGAGAGAGGTTCTGTACTCGGGTAATATATTTCGTAAATATAAACGCTGTCAGTTGAATTATTTTCTAATACAAGAATATTTATGATTTGTTTCCCAATTAAAATGTTTAAGCCATGATCAGATTATGCTATCGATACTAGTAGATAGCGTATAGCACGCACTTAAGTACAAATTAAGCTTGATTTGACCATGGTATGTGAAAGTGAAACTAACTTGCAAATCAATTATTTCATTTATTAATGGGAAATGAAATGATCCTATTGCTTGATCACTTTCCCCTCTCTCAATCGCTTTCCTTTTTCTCTCATTGGCTTTCCCTGCCTCGATGACTCTCTTTCTCTTTGTTTCTTTCTCTTCATTTTTTTTTACCAAATTCAGTCCACATACACATAACACAGTACTACCTTTATTATTGTATTAATTTTAAAATGTAAGAGATTGAACGTGATTCTTTCTATGTAATCCTATTTCCTGCTTATATATACTTACATATCGAATTTTCTAAATGTGTATCAGTTAATTTTTACGAAGATTATATTATAGTCTGCTTAAAAAAATGTTTAACTGTAAAAATATATACTTTTTTTTAAAGTGTTTAGATTCAGTCTCACAAATTGGGGCATGGATTTTTTATCTGATCAATTTATATACGAACTGTATGATCGTCAGTGTTGCTAATCCAAACTGTTATAGAAGTATCAGTACCGCAGCATTACAGTGCATTTATGTGACTGTACATCATTCCCTTCATAATTTTATAACAATGACCCAAAAAAAGATGTTGATATATGTGATTTGTAATTGAACTTTGCACAAAATATCAAAAAATTAACGTGGGCGACGGCTGTGGACACTGTTTTCTAAAGGAAAATCACCCTTGAAATGTGCCATTTGAAGGCTTTTTCTTTTGAAAATAAAGAAATGCTTCACATAAATGGGATCATATTTGCAAAATGGTAAACCTTCATGCCATATTCTTTCTCGATTGATCACAGTGATATACTTAACTAATACTTAAGACAGTTTCAAAATTTTTTGATGTCATTACATTTTTTGGGCGCAATAAAGCTAAAATAATACCTTCTTCTTTGTAGATTACTGATTCGATAAAAGCTAATCAAAAGACGCCCTGAAGTATGATGTCGCCGTCAAGGAGTAATATGAAAATCGGGCATGAGATTTCGTTCGAAACGTTGTTACTGTAAATATTGGCGGCTAAGAAACGGATATTGTGTAGGTAGTAATTATTACTGTAATGTTTAATTTCTTGCTACGTTAATTTATGTCGATTGATGATAACAAACACATACATTTTTAAGCGGTTAGCTTTGCTAGCTGCTTTATAGCATGTGTCGACACAGGAAACTTCCATAAGGCGCTACCTATCGACAACGCAAACTTCAACAAAGCCTCTACTTAGTACCTATGATTTGTTTCTAACACATATAACATATGTTAAATAAAATCAAGACTATCAAAACAACATAATCTTTTGGTTTTTAATTTTGTTTCTGATTTTGTTTGTCAATGAAATAAATTTATAATTGTTGTATTAAAAAAGTTTATGTATAGAAGCATTTGGTGTCGAGATTAAATTTCCGTGACATCAGTTGATGGCGATCGAGCCCTGTGACGAAATTCGAAGTGAGCATGAAGTTAAGCTGATAACATTATCAACGCGTTAGATTTAAACTTTAGGAAGAAATGTATAGAGAGAAATATATTTGAATCTAACGCTACAAGAAAACCAGTAGGCATTTCCGATTTATGTGTTAAACTGCCCTTGCAGAAATTATTCCTGACTTGAAAATGCTTCTCAGGAATTCCTAAGATGTCCTAAGAATTCCTAAGATTTCCTCACAATCTGATTTGAGGAAATCCTAGGAGTAACAATCCTGGGATTTGATTTCAGGACATCCTAGGATCTCCCAGGACTTTTTTGTTAAACATTTCAAATCCAAACCTTGCCAGGACATTTCATTGTAAAGCCAGGAGTTAATCATTTTTATGATAATCCCATTTCCTAAGACTTTTGACTTAATGTTGGGACTTTTGTAAAAAAGACAAATTAAACTTTACAAACTTGTACATGTTAATAAAATATATATATGTTAAAACAGAATGACAGGAAATTTTATTACTTTTAAAGTTTTAATGTATAATATCAAGAAAATCATAAAATGAATAATTTTCCATCATTACATATTATACTTGATTCATAGAAAGACACTGATCCTAGAACTATTATTTAAATTAAATACTTTCTGAAATATTGATGCTGTCAGGGAGGAGTTATACATGTAATATGTTTTAAAGAAAAATTGTTTACAGACAAACAATATTTCACCATTTTCAAATCACACATTTCTGAGTTGATTTTTATCCATTAGAATTTAATTCTACACTTAATCTTTAGATTGCTTCGTTCATGGGAAACTGAGTGCAAGCAAAGTTTTTTTTTTTCGAAAGCACTGGTCATACAAACTTGGCCATCTTGCAATACAACATCAAGTATTAATACAACTTTTTCTTTCTATGTAGAAGTAATATTTTCCAGAATGTTTCACTAAAAATAAAATGTTCCTCTTAACTTAAAGTTGGTTTTCAAATGGCTTTGAATTCAGAAGACCATACATGCAGAAGGATGGAGTGGTAAATTTTCTTCATCTGTCAATTTAATTTTTCACTTCGCATTTCATTTCGACAAAATAAAACATATTTTCCTCAGAGCACGTTATAAGAAATGGCTCTCCTATACCGTCATCACCTGCATACAGGTTATATATCTCTCAGGTGGTTACCAAACTATCACCTTCAAAGTCACATGCCATTTTTTCTGTATCTTCTTCTTTATCAATGTCATTTGGTTCATCAAACTTTCTTTGTCTTTACTATCTTTAACATCTTCATCCAAATCTGTATGATTTCGCTGTATATTCACCCATAACTGCCAGAGATACTATACAAAAGAGAAGTAAATATTGAGTCATTGAAAGAAGAGTACACTACACAAATTTAAATCCTACATAAACAGCATACTCAAGAAGCATGACTTGGTCTGTGACATCATACTTTCGTCACTTTCTGTCTTAAAAAGCTTGGTATTTCAAATTTTGTTGGGTTAGAATCGTGTTGTATTGAGTTTGAGAATATAATTCCTCATATTTTGATATTGAGTATTGCTTTTATTTAACGAGGAAAATCTAAAAAAACGCAGTAAAACTAATAGAGTTTCCTGAAAATTTTATCCACATAAACAGAGATCCAAAAAACTTTTCAAAGGTTTTTGACCAAATTCGAGTCGTAACATAACTATTAAATACGATAAAAATGCGCTTTCCCTATAGGTTTTATCGCCAGATACACTAATTTTCATTCAGCACTTAGCAATAAAATACTTACAGACATCGTGACAGGCTTGTAGATGCGAAGAAAAGTCGTTGTTTATAGACTGGCCTGCCTGTCTGATATCCGATATACATATATTTCCTGCGTACGGTAAAGACAGGCAATACCAGTCTACGTTGTTTACAGCACAATGTGACAACTTCACGATCCGCCATATTTGTGTTTGGACGGTTTCCATGCAAATTGCTCTTGGCCTAAATGTATCATCGTGGTTCTTCGAAAATATTTTCTTCTGTAACACTTTCTGTTAGTAGAATTGGTTGATCAAGGGTATTTATATTTTATTTTTTTAATATGCGGGTCGTTTGTCACTGATAAAAAACTTACGTGTTTTTTTTAACAAGATTCTCGGGAAAATGTCGGGATATTTCTTAAAGGTGTACAAAATACCCCTACACCGTGTCTGCAGCATTCTCTCGCGCAAACTTCCGAGAGGTGGTACAAAAAAGTGATCTTCGATCAATTAGTACCTGATGTATAAATTATATTTTACTGTCAACTCAGCTTTGAAATTTATTTTGTCAGAAAATATTCGCTAAAATAGATTTTCTTTTTGTAAAAAAAAAAAAAAAACGTAAATTCACATGAATCACAAATTATTTTCAAGAATAAACAAACCGAATTTTCTTGGTGTGGCACGAAATAACGGCGCGTCGATTTACCCAAATGGACCCAAATGGACCCAAATGGACCCAAATGGAACCCAAATGGACCCAAATGGAAACTCAAATGGACCCAAATGGAAATCAAATGGAATATTAAATATGTATTATCGTATTTTAATACTTATTTAAATGATGAAAATAAATGAACTTACAGTTACAAATGGATTTTTTTAACTTAATAATCTGTAATATTGTATCTTGAAACACGAAGTTTTGACAGTATTCTATATACCGGCAAAATTATTTGGGGGTAGGGGCAGGGGGTAGGCATGGCCTCCAACCCCCCCAACCCCCACCTCCACCTCCGTTCCTACGGCCATAAAAAATATCAAATACTTCAGTTTTGTATTCAAGTATGTTAAATTATATACAAATAGAATTAAATCACATTTTTCAAAATACAATTGAAGAAAATAATGATATTATAATATTCTTTATTTGTTTTAATTTCATTATTTTCTATATTTCAAATAAGTTAAAACTTGAAATACGATATAATATATATATTATATATTCCATTTGGGTCCATTTGATTTCCATTTGGGTCCATTTGAGTTTCCATTTGGGTCCATTTGGGTTCCATTTGGGTCCATTTGGGTTCCATTTGGGTCCATTTGGGTAAATCGACGCACCCCGAAATAACTTTACACCGTCCTGTATCATCCTCTCGCGAGACTTCATCGAGAAGCGCAAAATAGGAGTTCAAGGAGCGGCAATGTTTAGAGAGACTGGTGAAATGCAATGAAATGCACAACTTACGCCCATGATTGACTCTAATTCTTCACATAAACCATGTTCTCTCTCCCAAAAATCTTGGTTTCGCTAGGAGTGCAGTAAAGGGAATGTTGGAAGAAGTGTAGATATCATGGCCACAGACCAGTGGGGTAAGTGGCGAGTGGTTCCTTGTAATATGTATTTAAACACACAAATATTGTTGAATAATTTAGTGCATGTGATGTGTTGTATAATATTTCAATACTGAAACAGAAGAAACGATTTGAATATGTGTAAAAGGTTTTTGTGCATACTGTGATTCAGTCTAGTCCATGAAGATCAAACGTAGATACACAGTGAAATATTTCCAGGTTTTGCATGTTTAAATTTAGTAAGCAGAAGACTTATAAACAAATATTTATTATCAGTTACTGTTAAATTTGCATTGAATGTTTTGACATGGTGTAAATTTTGGAATTATACTCTTAAATAAAGCCTTCATTGCATTGTTATCTTCTAGCTTAAACCTTGAAGCCTGGCAAGGATTATGAGACTGGAAACTCCCATTGAGACTACCAAATGAAGAGAAAGTTTCAGGTATCTTGTAATCTTTTTTTAAAATTTTCTTTTGTAAACTTGAAAGAATAGACGGATTTCACATTCCTAAGAGTTATCTCCTGTTGTCGGCGTAACACTCATTTTTCCCACTTTGTCCTTTGTAAGTTACCTGGAAATATTTTTATTTTCAGATATTTATATCTAACAATATCGGTCTGTAACTGTATTGCCAGAATATGGGGCAACTTTAAAAAAGTATTTAACAAATTCATACATACTATATTTCTCAGATACTGACCCATAAAGTTGGTAAGGTAATAGAGGGGAAACAGTTTCTTAAGCCGATTGACCCTGGATTAACCCCGCAAAGGGGAATAACTTTTGTAAATGTGAAAGTCGTCTATGAAAGTTTATGGTACATTTCAATCTCTGTAACTTATATTAAGTTGGGAAAACTGACGCAGATGTCGTAGAACTCATAAGATAATATTCACAAAATTTAGAACAGAAAAATGAAAAAATCAGCAAGAAATATCAATGACAGCCATCATTAAAATTAATTTCAGCTAGATTACAAAAGAACAAATATATACACATCTTATAAAAAATTTTATTGATAACTTTGCAGACTGTTTAACTCGGACTAAGGGAAAAGAAGCAAATTACAACAAGGAGAATATTGCCGAGAAAGGTAAGCTGTTCAAATAATGTTAATGTATGATTTTAATGTTCTGTTTACACGGAGAGTTTAATTCACAGTATTTTAATGCCAAGTAAATTGACTTCATACGACAGCTGTGGTAAAGCGGTTAACTATTCATTGCGAATTAAAATTTTATTTTCTACAAAAAGGCTATTCAGTAAGATTATTATTTACATCATTTGTAAATCACGTCATGTATGCAATTGATTAACATACCTTATTCCTTATGCAAGTGTGAATAAAATAAATCTTTTGAGAAAAATAGTTCATCTTACTTGGGCAAACACATATTTTTATGGACTGGTAGAATCTGAAAGCTTGGTACATGTAGCATCTTTGGCTACTAAATTTTACAAGTTTGATTTTTATCCCCTAGAAATAATTACATATTTAGACTAAACAATGGAATACATTAAGTAAAATTTTATTTTAGCAAAGACAAGTGAAAAGTCGAGTGAAGAAAAAGCAAACAAGGCTTCACGATCTGCAACTAGGCCACTGGCGATGAAGAAGAAAAATGTACAGCTAAAGAAGATACATCAGTGATCAACTAAAGCTGGGTGACTTATATTGGATTGACGAGGTGCAGGGGGTATATTAATTTGGATCTGTTTATCTTTGTCAATCTGTCTGTCTGTAACACTTTGTTCTCTTAACATTTCCAAAAAGCCATCAGATATTGCAATGACGTTTTATATTATAACTCATTTTGACGATCCCACTGCAGAACTTGATGAATCATCAATACAAATTTAATATTGTTTATAAATTAAATATTACCCTTATATATTTTGAAGTGAAATGGTCAGGGGGGATAAATAAAAATAAAAATAAAATAGTATTGCATTATACCAATTATTGTGAAAGTTGAGAAAATATATTTATTGTGGTAAATTACTACATTCACATTGAAATGTAACTATTAATTCCAATTTGGTGTATACAATAGCAGTTACTGTATTATTGTAATTGTTTATTACATACTTCAGTTTACATCTACGATAAAGATATTAAATTGTGAAAAAGTTAATTTGTTACATCTACTGTAAATATTTGTACATTTTTAGCATATTTCTCTATGACCCTGAAATTTTTATTGTATTTTTTTTTTTCAATGCAATTAATGCAATGATTAAATTTTTGTTAACAGAAATAATAACTGTAGATTAATTGTTTTGTTTTAGTCATTTGGTACAATTTTTATTTAGAGAATGTCCTAGAATATCCCAGGTTAGTGGATGTCCTAGGACATTCCAAGTAAGTGTATATCCTAGGATATCCCAGGTATTCCTGGGACATTTTATTCCTGGGAAATCTTGGCATTTTGATTCTTGGGATTTTTCTAGAACCCCTTTTGGGACAGTCCAAGGAAATCCCAGGAATTCCTGTTCCAAAAACATCTCAGGAAATCTCCCAGGTATTCCTGGGACATTTTATTCCTGGGAAATCTTGGCATTTTGATTCTTGGGATTTTTTCTAGAACCCCTTTTGGGACAGTCCAAGGAAATCCCAGGAATTCCTGTTCCAAAAACATCTCAGGAAATCTTAGGATTAATCCTAAGATTTTTTCAAGATATCCGAGGAATAAATCTCAAGATTATCTTAGGATTTCTTAGGACATCTCAGGAATATTCTGCAAGGGTGAAGCCTGAATCGAACAGGGGGTCAAACTGGCGTTGGACACCTTGTGTACTTATATATAGAGGGGATAGAATGTTTCGATATTTGGCTAATTTAGAGACTTACCGATAAAAATTCAGGTGCCTGTGATTAATTCTAAGGCTACTCTCATGGACAATAAATATTTCACCGAATTATGCTATTGGGCAGAGGAAGGACGGGTTAATTACTGGCTAAAGGGGTTGAAGGTTATTACCAACTGCAAAAAATTCGGAGAATCTCTCAATCGAGTTTCATTTTCCAAAATATCAAGGCATCCCTTTTATTAAATAAAGTTATACTAGTACACGAAGAAAGACTTTATATAAAAATACTGAAGTAAGTTGTACAGTTATGGATTATTTTCATAATGAAACGTTTGTTTTCTTCTCCTTTTTTTCTCAATTGAAATTATTTAATAGATGATAAAAGCTTTGTTGCCAGGGAAAAAATCATTTTCAAAAATTGGGAATAGATAGAATGAACCCACCTGCTGACCCGCAGTGAGCCTACGATACTGAACCTCTCTGATATTACCGTAATTAATTCTCTGCTCGTCCATCCGTTTTTCTCGGACTAGCCAGCTAAAGATCTATGTACAGTACTCCAAATCAATTAATCTAAAGAATTTGAATTATCATTTTATTTTATTTTTGAGTTGTTTGTTATAGAGGCTTTATAGTTACATAATTTCAAAATCAATAGAGCATGAAAGCTAATAAAATTGCCAACATCAACATAATTTTTTTTTCGTTCTGAGCACTTTTGGATGCCACCAATGGAGACAATTAGGGAGAAATTTTTGAAATTGAACTTTCTGTTTTTCAAATTGAAAATCGTAGGTTGATATTTTGAATAAAACATTTGTGACATCAGTCTGGGATGTTATTGGTTATATACCATTTAGTTAAGTGCTACAAAATTCATTGTGTCTGCTTCTTCGCTGATGACATTGGAAAAAGATATGCATGCCTACTTAATATCATCGTTCAATGCATTTTTTGTGGTTGTACACTGTACTTATTTGATGAAAGCATGCTAACTGCTTTTCAGTGCTTTCAGTACTTTGATTAATATTTCAAAGAGGTCTTCAGCGGGATATATATTCGTAACACAGTCAGTAAGTGACTTAAGGGAAATCCGTATTGGGACTAGGCTTCGCCTCGCTCTCAACAGATTTCCATTTCACACCCTGTATGACTCCGTATTAGGTCACTTACTGACTGTGTGACTTATAATATGTTTTTCACATTAGTCCTCGTGTTTCAGATTGCAGATTCGTGCATTCAAAAAGCCTACTGTTCATTGATCCACGTTTATCATGAACTTCAACATCCCCATGTTTTAAGGGCAAAAATGCCGTGCTCCCTGAGATTTTCTGGATATTTTTTCCTCTTAATGTGTGAAATAACTTTATTTAACAGATTTTGCATGACCATTGTATTTTGTATTGAAATGATGTTAAAGTCAATGTTGAATTAATTACACGGCTTTTTGGGGTCATTGTTATAAAATTACACTAGGAATGAAAAAAAAATATGTATGACTTATACGTATCAAATAAAAATATGACGATTTTTGTTTGTAAAGTATAAATTTTAAACTAGAACTGTCCAAACGGGACAAAATACCTCCCGCTGGGTTTTTCAGAGGTAAGTTTTTCTATAATAAAGATATGTATCAAACACAAATTATGAAATTTTTCTAACAGTGACCTTGAACGTCCCCAAATGACCTCAGGTCAAGGTCATGACACATCCTTGGGTCATGGGCAATCTTTGAGTGAAAGGAGAACCTATCATGTTTATCCATAAGAAAGATATAGACCGGACACAAATTACGAAATTTTTCGTCCAGTGACCTTGAACTTCCTTATATGACCTTGGTTCAAGGTCATGACACACCCTTGGGTCATGGGCAATCTTTGTGTGAAATGAAAACCTAAGAAAGATATGGATCGAACAGGAATAATGAACTTTTTCTTCCAATGACCTTGAACTTCCCCAAATGACCTTGGGTCAAGGTCATGACACATCCTTGGGTCATGGGCAGTTTTTGTGTGAAATGAGAACCTACCAAGTTTATCCATAAAAAACATGTATCAAACATGAATTTTGAAATTTTTCTTCCAGTGACCTTGAACTTCTCCAAATGACCTTAAGTCAATGTCATGACACACCCTTGGATCATGGGCAATCTTTGTGTGAAATGAGAACCTACGAAGTTTATCCATAAGAAAGACACGAATTATGAAATTTTTCTTCCAGTGACCTTGAACTTAGAATTACCTGAGGCATATCATGTATGTAACAGTAAAATTAGTAGTGTATGTAATACTGAACAAGAAATAATTGATATTATAACTATACTTCCTACAAATAAAGCTATTGGTCATGATAATTTTAGTCATAAGATGTTGAAATCAGCAAAGTTTACTATTGCTGAACCTCTTTGTTTATTGTTTAACAGATCTCTAAATGAATATATTTTTCCCTCTGCTTGGAAATTAGCAAATGTACTTCCTCTTTTTAAAAAAGAAGATCCTTCTGTGATGTCTAACTACAGACCAGTGTCATTGTTGAGTTGTGTTGGGAAAATCATGGAAAGAGTTGTGTTTAAATATATTTATAAATATTTTCATGACAACAATCTTTTTACCCGGGCATTCAACAGTATACCAGCTGATAGAAACATATATATGATAATATTGTTAAAGCTATTGATGATGGAAAATTTTGCTGTATGATTTTTTGTGATCTATCCAAAGCATTTGATCGTGTTTGGCACAAAGGTCTTCTATTTAAGCTTGAGACAGAGTTATCTGAACTGTCGATACCAAAGGGTGATGCATCGTAACTTATTATCAACACCCAAACCCTTATATGCTGGTGTTCCCCAGGGCTAAGTTTTAGGACCACTTTTGTTCTTAATTTATGTTAACGATGTTGCAGATAATATGGTTACTTTTTGTAGATTATTTGCTGATGATAATTCTTGGCAGCATTCGTCTCAAAATATGAAAAGAATTGAAAGAGACTTAAACAAAGATTTAAATGCTCTGGATCTATGGTCTAAAAAATGGTTATTGAAATTTAATCCCTCTAAAATTAAAGTAATAATGTTTAGTACAAAGAAAAATATAGAATATCCTAAGCTTCTTTTTCAACAATGTGAACTAGAATTCATTACTGAACACAAACACCTCGGAGTACTATTTTCACATGATGCCAGTTGGTCACCACATATTGATAATATTCTGTCTATTGTCTCCAAAAAATTGTCCCTTTTGAAAAAATTAAAATTTAAAGTAAATCGTAAAACACAGCTCTCACTCATGTATACATCATTCATAAGACCGCAACTTGAATCCGCTTCAGTGGTGTGGGGGTGCTGCCAACAGGGTGATAGTGATAAGTTAGAAAAACTTCCACTTTATGCAGCTAGAATTGTAACAGGGTTAACAATTATAGCTTCCAAAGATTCACTTTATTTTGAAACGGGATGGGAACCGCTTAGTTGTAGAAGACAAGAAGCTAGATTAAAAACAATGTTCAAACTTCATAATAATTTAGTGCCAGAATACTTAATGGACATACCCCCAAATATGCGCCGTAACACATCTATCTACTCGACAAGAAATTCTCAAAATGATGATATTCCAAAGTGTCGATTACAAACTTTTAAGTCTACGTTTATTCCTACTGTAGTTAACGAATGGAACTCCATTCCACTAGAAACTCGAAATTTACAGTCAATGTCGAAATTCAAATCCAGAATTAGCAATAAACAAGAGGCACAAGGGCCTTGAATCGCTCTTCCAATAAATTGTACAACCTATCACTTGTATTTGAAGCCTCTAACCCTAAGTATCCTAAGACCAAAGTTGCACCACCTGACAAAGTTTGATGATTCTTAGCCAGTAAGGAC